CTGGCAAGGGACAACAAATAGTCATTCGGATGGGACGAAAACACAAGATCCAGTGTACAAATTGGCATGAATGTAAAAGAGTAGGCCGTAGTGTTGCTGTCTGGGCAAAATTTCCCTCATAGCACACTGTATGACGTCTTCATTATCCCAGTTGGATCACAACTGTAGGAAGTTAAACCCCATTTCATTTAATGTAATATAAATAAGATTAGTTGGGATTAGTAAATATTACCTATATGGTAACCATGTAAGGTGAAATCTATAAGGTATTAATGTCTTGTAATATATTATATATTATTAGAGTCTTTATAAATTCACAGCATTCAGACATCAGTTGCCAGTTAACCAACCATACACAGTATTCAAACATCAGTTGCCAGTCAATCAACCATACACAGCATTCAAACATCAGTTGCCAGTCAACCAACCATACACAGCATTTAAACATCAGTTGCCAGTCAACAAACCATACATAGCATTCAAACATCAGTTGCCAGTCAACCAACCATACACAGCATTTAAACATTTTGGCCAGTCAACCAACCATACACAGTATTCAACCAACCATACACAGCATTCAAACATCGGTTGCCAGTCAACCAACCATACACAGCATTCAAACATCAGTTGCCAGTCAACCAACCATACACCCAAAAGTAGCTTTGGATTTTAATTATAAAAGTACAGCAATTTATCAGCTAATGATAAATGGTATCAGGTGTTCCAGGAATAATAAGCACAGCCTATCTTGTGTATGATATCTATGTGAACTCCCCAAATGAGAAGTGGTATGAGGTGTTCTAAAAACAGTATGTGAACTACCCAAATGAGGAGTGATATGAGGTGTTCTAGAAAGAGTAATTATCATACTATGTGAACTCCCAAAATGAGAAGCGATATGAGGTGTTCTAGAAAGAGTAATCATACTATGAGAACTCCCCAGTTGGAAAGTGATATGAGGTGTTCTAGAAAGAGTAATCATACTATGTGAACTCCCCAAATAAGGAGTGATATGAGGTGTTCTAGAAAGAGTAAACATACTATGTTAACACCCCAATTGGAAAGTGATATGAGGTGTTCTAGAAAGAGTAATCATACTATGTGAACTCCCCAAATAAGGAGTGATATGAGGTGTTCTAGAAAGAGTAAACATACTATGTTAACACCTCAAATGAGAAGTGATATGAGGTGTTCTAGAAAGATTAAGTCTACTGTGTGAACTCCTAAAATGAGGTATAATGAGGTGTTCTAGAAAGAGTAAGTATACTATGTGAACTGCCCAAATGAGAAGTGATATGAGGTGTTCTAGAAAGATTAAGTATACTATATGAACTCCCCAAATGAGGTATGAGCTGTTCTAGAAAGAGTAAGCATACTATGTGAACTCCCCAAATGAGAAATGGTATGATGTGTTATAGAAATTATAGACATAAATTATGTCCATGAAGCAGTGGACATGAATAATTAGGGAAATTAGATCCTTGTAAATATCAGATTATACAGGTCACAATTCTATGGAATACAATTACTGCTTTTTACTGAGCGACGTTTCGACTAGGCTTCTCTAGTCATTATCAAGCTTGATAATGACTAGAGAAGCCTAGTCGAAACGTCGCTCAGTAAAAAGCAGTAATTGTATTCCATAGAATTGTGACCTGTATACTCTAGTTCAATTACTAAATGCCATTGAAACAGTTTAAATATCAGATTTTTAAAAATATCAAACAAAGAAGACCAGTAAATAATATGAGTTATATATAATTATGATAGTATATATTATATACTATATAGATGTGATATAGATGTGATATAATATATATATATTATATACTATATAGATGTGATATAGATGTGATATAATATATATATATTATATACTATATAGATGTGATATAGATGTGATATAATATATATATATTATATACTATATAGATGTGATATAGATGTGATATAATATATATATATTATATACTATATAGATGTGATATAGATGTGATATAATATATATATATTATAGTCAGTGATATAGATGTGATATAATATATATATTATAGTCATTGGTATAGATGTGATATAATGTATAGTCAGTGATATAGATGTGATATATAATGTATATATTATAGTCAATGATATAGATGTGATATAATATATATATATTATAGTCAATGATATAGATGTGGTATATCAAACCAGTGTAGGTTATCATATTGAATTATCTTATCAACAATCTTTATACAACCACTCTACACATGCTGTAACAACAGATCATATGACTGCAATATGACACTGCCCTGGTAAAATTCTACATTAGAGTATGGTAGACCAGTTCACATACCCTTTCATTTATCAAATTAATATATAAATATATATTTTCTTAGAAAAATCCTTCTTCTCATAGCACAATACGACTACAATATGACACCGCCCTGGTAAATATCTACAATGCATTCTTTGGAAAATATCAGTTTCAACATGGTCTAACTGGGTTGTGGTGTTCAGATCAAACAAAATTTTATTAATGTTGTGTATGCAAATTGGTTATTATACAAAAAAATCCCTTGACAATTTGAATTCGAAAATGTGTAGGTGGAACCCTTATGTTATTCACAATCCAAACACAATATCAAATCTCACACACAACCATACCTTACACTCCAGACACAACCACATCTCACAACAACCAAAATATATAAAAATCATCTTACTTAACATATCTCACAAACAGACAGAGGTTTAACTTCAATCACTCTGAGACTAATATGGTAATATCTATCTCCCTACCGTGCTTCAAATTTCAACTGCCAAGGGATCTTTAACAAATGAAATGAAATGGGGTTTAATGTCCTACTGCCAAGGGATCTTTTACGTGCACGCCAATTTGTAAACAGGACCTTGGTTTTTCGTCCCATCTGAACGACTAGACAGCTGTCCTTGTCAGGCCCTCCGTTCTGCATCACTGACAAGAAGAAACCACGTCGGAAAATCTGGATGAACTTTCTCGGCCAATGCAGGGATCGAACACCCGACCTCCAGGCTAGCGAGCCAGCGTCTTACCCACTTAGCCACGTGATCCCCGGATCTTTAACACGCACTACCAGTTTGTACACAGAACATACGTTTTTCATCCCATCCGTAGTCTAGACATATTTATTTATATAGTTCCAATGTGAATCTATCTCCCTACCTTACTTCAAATTTCAACTGCCAAGGGATCTTTAACATGCACTACCAGTTTGTACACAGCACATAAGTTTTTTTTATCCCATCCGTAGACTAGACATACTGTCCTTGTCAGTTAAGACAAGATAAAACCGTGGATTAGAGTTCACAATCTGGTATGTATATGTATATCCACTAGTTTTGTATTTTTCTATGAATAAAGATTACCTCCTACAGATAGTCAATTTTATAAAATAAAACAAATCACTGAAGCAAATTGAATATAAATCACACAGGTTCTATTGTGTTATATTATATTACACTGTTCTTCGCTTGACTTATTATAACTCAATCTATGCGGAGTTTATACAACCACTGGCTTGACTTAACATGAATTAATCTACCGGATTTAATACACCCTCTATCAGATTTAAATTTGGTATTATGGGGTGGAAACTTGAAAGGGTGGGGAGTGGGGGGTCAATTGGCTATAACTTTAACATGGTTTACAGACCAACCTTATAACCATAACATAGTTTATAGACCAACACTTGGCTTCAACCTTTTATGGTGGCCATAAATTCCCACAATCACTTTAACAAGCAAGCTCATCAAAATTACAATTTTCATTTTTTTCCATATATATATCACTTTGATGATTGATTTAAAATACCGTTTATAACTTCTGTGTAAATAAATCAGATGAATAACATGTGATATTGACTGTTGAATATGATAAATTAAATTATATTGACTACACACCACTTATTTATTTATAACTTCCTTGTAAATAAATCGGTTGAATGCCATATTGACTGCCCCACTTATCTTTAACAGTTTAATGTATTATAACCATCATCATCTTTGAAGTTCTTCATACCTTACTCAAATCCAACAATGATAATATACAATTGTGTTTGTACCGACATCCAAAAAGAACATCAACTAGTGTCTTTCTTAGTGAATTCTCAGATCTTTTATTGGATATATCTTCTAAACCTGGTAAACTGGTGATATTAACATTCATCTTGACAATGTTGATGATACTGTCCCGGACAAATTCCGTAATATGTTGAACTCTTTTGGCATTGTGCAGCATAACCCATGGATGAGGGCACCGTTTCGATGTAGTTATCACACGTGAGACTGATAACATTATTGATAAAGTGAATGAATATGTCAAACAAATTTCTGATCCTTTCTGAATTTTTGGAGAAATTGTTAGTAAAAATCTTTAAAATTTAGGAAAACTAGGAACATTAATATTGCCACTTCCAAAGCTGATATTGTTCAGAGTGATTTTCTCTCAGATCTTCAAACAATTACAAGACCTGTGAGGGATGGTGGAGGAGGTAATGATGCTACAACACCCCGGGTCTATGAGAGGGAGGGGGGTTGGATGGCCAAATGGTTAGTGCGTGCACGCTGTACCATAAGGTCTGTCACTGAGTCAACTGGCATGGTTTCGATTCGCAAGTTGTGCTTGACAAAGAGTATGATCGGCTGTCGAACCTCATGGGTTTTCTCCGGTTTCTCTGGTTTCCTCCCACTGCTAAAGACAAGAGGGGCTTGTTGGTCGTTGGCTCTGTATTGCGTCCAATGGAAAAGGCGCCAAAGGCACCCGTTGGAGGCGCCGATTGTTTCCAGGGGAGGCAGATGTCCCTCTTGCCCCACCCCCTCCCACGCTAGCTACGAGCCTGACAACATGCAGAACACCAGGACATCCCCCACTCCCAACACTCTAGGTTCCCCTGGTCCATTTATAGTCCTGCCATCTTTACATCATTATGAGCAGCTTACAATTCCAACTAGTAATAGGGTATTAATTATATAAAACTAACCTTTCTTTTACTGTGTAATTTATATAACAATATCTTCTTTTAGCAGTCACCTTACATATACCACACTATCTAGTATATCTTCTATCAGTCAGTTATATTATAATATCTTCCACACTATATATCACACTAATATCCTACATACAATATTCCCATTTTAACACAGTTTAAACATAGTGTCAACCACTCTACCTGTTGGTGTAAACACACCTGTATTAATTAATACACCTTGCACATGTCTATAAATTGTCAAATTAACGGTAGAAATGAGACTTGTGTACATATCTATCTAGTGTTGGTGGTGAATGTTATGATCGTATTGTTTGTGAAATCACCTGTAGTCGACTAGATATTACACGGTGAGTTAATCAGCTTATAATCACATATTGTACGCTACCTGTCGGCTTATCTCAACACTGTCAACTCGGTAGCTTTTATCTGTAATATTACCATTGAGTTAAAGTCGACTTCAAACATCCGACAATCATTGGAATAAATCACGGGGTTTATATAGCTGTTCACCCTATACCCTACTATATAGCCTACTATACGGCCTGTCACAATACATTTATTACAATCAATGGGCGGGTCGTGTATATCACCGGTAACCTGTTGATCTTAGTGTTTAACGTCCGCTTCCACCGAAGCTGATATCGGGTTTTCATTTTATTATCTTTCCTATGGGAGGAAACGGGGGTACTCGGATCGCGTAAACCCGCGAGGTTGAGAAGGTCACACGCTTACATCAGAGATCGAAACCGGCCAGCTAGAGAGCTCGAAGTTCTATAAACCACTAGTCCATCCCACCCCCGCCGGTAACCTAATGCCTTCTGACTTTATATAGCCCACTGCACGGCCTGTCTACCGTATGTACATGCACCTTCTCGGGGGCCTGAGTTTATATAGGCCTAATCAACGAAAATCTGAATCTGTGTGTCACTTAACTACCAAATGTCATATAAATATTATAAGTGACTTCCTGCCAGGGTGAACGGTGTTCTGTAGTAAACGCGGTAAAAAAAAACCCACTGAGATCCTATGTACATACATTGGCGTGCTCGTACGAGAATCGCAGACAGCTGAAATTCGATAGGCCTAGGTCGTAGTGTCATTGTCCTACGAGAACAGTAGGACGTTAAACTGAAGTACATGTACCTAATTATCTGGGGCCGGTTGTTCAAAAGCTCCATTAACTTTTAACGACTCGTTAACATGGAATTAATGGATCGTTATCTTTAACGGAAAGTCTGTTGCTGGAAGCTCCGCTAACTTTAACATGTCGTTAACTTGCCGTTTATTTAACGGAGGTGTTGGGCTCCGTTATCTGTTTAATGATGGCATTAGTCGGCTGTCAGTCAAGTATGCCCTTAGCAAAAAGTCATAAATTACCAATGTAATTTTCTGTAGACTTCTATAGAACACTCTAGAGCGGTGGCGGTGGCGGTGGTGGTGGGGGAGCTGTCCCATTTTCTATAGGATGAAAGTCTATAGTATTCTACATAATTTTGGGGACCTGTAGGAAATAATGGTGCGTAATATTCTAGAGTTTCTGTAGTGTAAATCCCATAAAAGTTCTAATAGGAAAATACTATAGATTTTTTTATAGTGTTTCCTGTAGGAAATTCTACAGCTATTTTTCTGTCTTTAATCAAGTTTTGTGAACAAACTGTACAGTTGTCCTACTTTCTTCAGTCTCTTGTTAATACTAATTTCAGCCAATGACCAAACAGTCTTCTCTTGGATTAACTTTAATCCGGCGGTTAGCTAACGGATAATGAAATTGACTTTCCAGCAAAGAGAAATTTAACGGACCGTTAACAAACGACACGTTAGCAAGATAACGATCCGTTAAGAGTTTAGCGGATCGTTAAAATAACTTAGTCTTGAACAACCGGCACCAGAACAGTAGCACGTTAAACTTAAGTACCCGATTATCAAATGTGAATCTTGTCAGGCAACTATATAATCTTTAATAATATAAGAGAGAGCGAGACTAGTGTTTGACGCGCATTGGATTCTTTAGATATATTATAGGCATCGCTGGATTCAGGGTCGCCGGAACTTCCGAGGGGCAGGGGCCAAGAATGAGGTATAAATCTGGGGGTCCTCCCCTAGAAATTTGTTTTGAAAATGGGTACAGAAACGATGAAATCTGACGTCTTCTGGTAGACTACCAGTTAAAACCTATCATATTAAAATACAACTCCGATCACTAGAATCAATAACCGATTCGGTTCACCTCGACGTAGCATATCGAATGAAAATCTCGAATCCTGTTTTTATACACTTTCAAGGGAAATATATAACCAGCAGTTGCCGGGCAAGATACGCCCACATTTTGCAAGCGATGAATAGAGAACAAGCTAAAAAATGCAATCAGATATGCACGAATATGGAAAGGAATTGAGATCTTTTGGATATAAACATATATTGTAAGTTAAGTCAAGATCGGGTAAAAACTGTGACCTCTAAATGGTCTACAACCTTGGTATTACATACTTTTACACTATTTGCGCACTATTATCGGACAGTATCAGTCCGATTTTGTCTTAAATAATGGATATTAAAAGCCCATCCTTTTCCGGTAAGATCACAACACCAATGTTGATTAAAATTGACAAATAATTCGTGTTTTCACTGTCGAAGATTTTGGATGGTATTGAGTTAGAGACTTAGCTACTTTAAGTACCCGATTATCAAATGTGAATCTTGTCAGGCAATTAATCTTTAATAATATAAGAGAGCGAGACTAGGGTAATGTTAAACGCACAATGGATTCTTTAGATATAGACATCGCTGAGTTCAGGGTCGCCGGAACTCAAGAAGGACAGGGAGTAAGGTAGGGTCCCGGGGATGAGGAAAGTCTGGGGGTCCTCCCCGGGAATTGTTTTTGAAAATGGGTACAGAAACGAGGACATCTGACGTCTTCTGGTAGACTACCAGTTAAAACCTATCATATTAAAATACAACTCCGATCACTAGAATCAATAACCGATTCGGTTCACTTCGACGTAGCATATCGAACGAAATTCTCGAATCCTGTTTTTATACACTTTCAAGGGAAATATATAACCAGCGGTTGCCGGGCAAGATACGCCCACATTTTCAAGAGATGGATAGAGAACAAGCTAAAACAATGCAATCCGATATGCACGAATATGGAAAGAAATTGAGATCTTTTGGATAAGCTACAATATTGTAAGTAAGATCGGGTAAAAACTGTGACCTCTAAATGGTCTACAACCTTGGTATTACATACTTTTACACTATTTGCGCACTATTGTCGGACAGTATCGGTCGGATTTTACGAAATTCGAGCTCAACCTTCAGTAAGGTGTACCGGTGAAATATGCGAACTTAACCATCATTAGGTTGTTACGGTGATATATTTAAACTTTTTGTTTAAATTGAATAGAAATTGTGATCTATAGAGGTTCCACAAGCTAAAAAACGCGATTTTTCGGTCCGATATATATCAAAAGGAACCAATCCTTGCGTTATTAACATACATTTTTAAGCTTCATCGAAATTATATTAAAACTAATGACTTCTAGAGGGTTCACAACCTTGGTATTACATACTTTTAGACTATTTGTGTACAAGGAGCGGCCATTTTGTCCAGAAGTTTCGGTTGGATTTTGACGAAATTCGAACTCAACCTTCATTGGAGTGTACGGTGATATGCTTTAACGGTTTTTTTTTTTAAAAATTGAATACAAATTGTGACAGGGGGGTTGGATGGCTGAATGGTTAGCGTGCGCGCGCTGTATCATAAAGTCTGTCATTGAGTCGACTGGCGTGGTTTCGAATCCCCGGTTGTACGTGACAAGGAGTAGGGGCGCCTGTCCAACCTCGTGGGTTTTCTCCGGGTCCTCCGGTTTCCTCCCACTGCTAAAGACCCCTATGCGCAAGCGAATTATTGAAATAAAATTAAACCATATGTTAGTCCCGAAATGACCTAGTTTGTGTCGAGTGGACGTTAAACCCCATTTCTCTCTCTCTCTCTCTCACAAATTGTGACTTCTAGAGGGCCCACAAGATCAAAACGTGATTTTTCGAACAATCCAGAAAGTTACAATCCGATATGCGCGAATATCGAAAGGAACCAAGATCTTTGTGTTATAAACATACATTTCAAGTTTCATCAAAATCGGATGAAAACTGTGACACCTAGAGACTCGACAACCTTTATATACCATAACGGGCGGGCAGGGAAGACGACAATATATACGTTCACATGAAAATGCGGGCGTATAAAAATATAAAATCCTTTCATGATAAATTATGACAAAGTAAACTTAACGGAAGTATATTTTGCGCTGCTGCGATTTAGCAATGGACTCTATGACTACCTTAAATACATCTGCTTCGTTCATACGATTTTTATGAATAGAAGCAAACTGTGCGAACCCGCAATCAAGTATCCGCTCACTAACCGGAAAGGAACACGAGATGGGATCTCCCCTTGCCTTAGCAAACAATGCTCGAACACATATCAATTATTAAATAGGTAAAGAGTTAAAAAGAGAAGGATGGTCAGACAATCTCATTGCTGGTGTACGAAAAACATTTTAAAGGACAGTCAGCAAAAATGTAAGGGCTGCGGGGTAATTGCCCCGTGCTTTTGTGGGGTGGGCATTTGAACTCGTGGTCTCGCCGTTCCGGAACCTAATTGGGTTCTGTAGAAGACCGGTTGATTCTGATGATGTAGCGTTTTCCCGTCTTGCCAAGCTGGTTAGACTTTTACAGGAGTTGGGGTTGAGAGAAAGAGATGTTAATTTTAAATATTGTAATGTAGACTATTGTGTAACTGTTGCGAAATAAAAACGAATAGCAAAACACTATCGTTGTTCCTGTTACATATTTAATTTCGGTATCGTGAGAAAAAACAACGATGAAGTCATTAAGAACAGAGATGTAACAATAGGCAGTCCAGAGTCAAACCAACCCGTAGATGATCAGGTCAAAACAAAGATATGTGGCAGCAGTAGTGCTACACGTGTCGCCTTATTCACTTCATTATCCTTATTTTGATATTCCTGTAAATATGCAGACATGCTATATAATTATTTATAACATGCCCAAAAATATAGCATATCCCAAACTGGTTCTATTTCAGTCTAGATCTATGGAGTACTGGTTCTAGATATAGGGGGGACTGGTTCTATTTTAGTCTAGATCTATGGAGTACTGGTTCTAGATACAGGGAGGACTGGTTCTATTTCAGTCTAGATCTATGGAGTACTAGTTCTAGATACAGGGAGGACTGGTTCTATTTCAGTCTAGATCTAGAGAGGACTGGTGCTATTTCAGTCTGGTTCTAGAGAGGACAAGTTCTATTTCAGTCTAGATCTAGGGAGGATTGGCTCTATTTCAGTCTAGATCTAGAGAGAACTGGTTCTATTTCAGTGACTGGCAGTAAAACTGAAAGACACAACGTCTGACTGACCGAGCCGATATTTTACACCTCCACAAGGCTAAGCATATCATTCCATTGGCCACTGCTTGAAAAAAAAAAAAATTACCCCATCCACCCCCGGCAGTCATCTTGGAAATACCAATGTCTCATAAATAGTTGGTTAAAAGCCTCTATCTGGGCCAAATCCCCTTGCATTACACAATTATTTATCAGGATGACTGGTCAACATATTGCCCAGATTCTGAAGTCTCTTTAATAAAACCATATAACCTACAGGTTTTTCAAGTGTTTATTTATATGGAATGACAGTTTGTTATATATATCTGATACAATATTTCTACAGTCTGTTTTATGTTACATAGAGTTATTTATAGTAATATATCCATATCTGATACAATGTTTCTACACAATCAAATAGAATTATTTATATATCCATATCTGTGCAGAGTAAAAATAACTCGGTCATTATCCAATTAAATGTTTTTGATTTCTTTCATTACTTTTCTTTTCATTCATACATAAATAACCGGAGCTAAAAGTTTTACCAATAATTAAATTAAAAGTTTTACAATAAATATATTAATAGAGAATCAAGATGCTGATTTTACTGATGATTTTCTGAGAACACAACCAACTAATGTTTACAACTCATCATGATTATAGTTCTAGCTAGACTGTAGACAAACATGTAGTTAATCATCCTACAATATGATATTACATGATGATAAAAACAATCAACTTACAATACATATATACCACTTATACATAAATATTAGTTATAATAGACATGTTTCTTACTTGGTTGGGGATAACTCTAATACAGGCCTAGGGAGTGGGTTATAACTAGGGGTGATAACTCTGATACAGGCCTAGAGAGTGGGCTATAAATAGGGGTGATAACTCTGATACAGGCCTAGAGAGTAGGTTATAACTATGTATTGGTGAAGAATGAGTGGCTAATTGATTCTATATGCCAATATTGTTTCAAACTGAAAACAAGACTTGTTCCACCAATCTAAAACAACAAACATATAAAATTATCTACATGTATGTGATAATTGATCTCCATGACGATTAACGAACTAGTGGCGTCTGTTTTAACTGTAATAAAATTGATCTCATTCTTGTAACATCTTTAGTAGATTTGGAGTGTTTCGGGTTGAATTCACACAGCCGACAAATCTTCTCCCACTCGTGACCTGGTACAGATTCATCTCGTTCTTTTATAAACGCCTTCTCTGCAGCTCTGTAAACAATTAAAATATTATAACTAACCTCTGTAAATATAACCTCTATCCCATTAACTACAATGTCAAGTGCTACCATTCAGACAGATGTGTGCTGTAATCCAGTCAGATTGTGTGTTATCATCCAGTCAGAATGTGTGTTATAATCCAGTCAGAATGTGTGTTATCATCCAGTCAGAATGTGTGCTACATGTATAATGCAGTCAGAATGTGTGTTATAATCCATTCAGAATGTGTGTTATAATCCAGTCTGAAAGTGTAAGATTGTTCAGTCAGCACAACATGTGTAAGCTCATCAAGTCAGCATGGAGAAGATAATCACCTCAGACTAGGTAAGATCATCAAGTCTGAATGTCTAACAAAATAAAGTGAAATGGGTTTTAACAGTTTATGTAATGTGCTCTAAGGTACATTTTGCCTGTACGACACTATTTCCACACAATCTTGCTCTGACTACTCTTCTTCGAATTCCAACTGCCATGGCTTCTTTTATGTACATGGCAACATGTCCTTGGCACAGCAGTTTGCCATCCCAACTGAACAATTAAACAGTGATCCTTGCCAGCCCCTCTATTCTGCACCAATGACAATAGGAAAACAAATCTGATAAATTCTTAAGAACTTTTTGACCAACACCGGTATCAAACCCCAATCTGATAAAAATACAGATCTATATTTCGTTTCGTTTTTTTATACTTTCGATGGCCTACACTAAATGAAGATCTGACAAGTTATAGCGATAGGTCACGTCAGGAGTCAAAAGACAGACTTTTGATCTATGACGTCAGACATTTGATTAACCAATCAGCATTGATGTTACTAGTGGATTACTCACAGTTCCGGGCAAAAAAGGTCAAACACTCGATTCGACAGACCATTTGATTGGCTGACCCCTCATTTCAAGCAGAACACGAGTTAAATAACAAGTCTTCTAGATCCAAGTGTAGTAAAGACAAGTAAAACGAAATTTTGAACTATAAAAACGAAACGAAATAGGATCTGTGTTTTAACCAGATTGTATCAAACCCCAGACCCAATGGTTAACTAGCCACGAATACTTACATGTTATTTTCCTTTGTTTTAGAAAGTTGTTCGGCATGATGTTTATACCAATCTTCTAATTCTTTCTTAGCAATAGACTGCCATTCTTCTTTCTTCTTAATTTCATTAATATCTAAAAATATACACACCATACATAGTCATATTCTCAAACTACACAACCTGGGTCTTTAACAGGAATTCCCACTAACAAATACAGAACCTAGAGGAGATTTATATAAACACCATCTCAACTGCCACTATCCCCAACTTTTTTTTACATACGCCATTATTGAATGCAAGATTTCATAACAAAGGGAGGGAACTCTGTGTCAACTACAACCTTGAAAATACAGACTTCTCTCTCTCTAGAGATAGAGGGGGAGAGAGAGAGAGAGAGAGAGAGGGGAGGGTTTAAGGTCCACTGACACAAACTAGGTCATTTGGGAATAACAAATTCTTCAATTTTATTTCAATAATTCGCTTGCATGTATGGGTCTTTAGCAGTGGGAGGAAACTGGAGAACCCCAACGAGGTTGGAGAGGCAACCCTACTCCTTGTCACGCACAACCAGGGAATCAAAACCACGACAGTTGACTCAATGACAAACCTAATGATACAGCGTGCACAAGCTAACCATTCGGCCATCCAACCCCTCTTCTCTATTAAGAACAGAGCTCGACTTTAACTGTCTTAATACTTGTTTTCATAATATTACCTTTCTTCTCTAGTCTATCTTTCTGTTCTTCTCGCCATAATCGTATTTTTTCTGGTTCGACCCGAACTGTATCTTGTTGTGATATCGCCGAATACGAATCCGATGGTCCGTTAGATTGCTGAAATAATTTATAAATTTTTATCTTGATGCTACATATTTATAAATCCTTATCTCTTTGCTATTTATATTAAAAATACATTATGTAAGATTTTGATAAAGAACTGTCCGTTCTTGTCATATTGTTCGAAAACAGATAATGAAAAATGAATATATGGCTTGTGCTGGCAAAATCAGCCACAATAATGGTTTATTTGAATCAGATAAAAAATGATCGATCTATGTATATTTAGACTGATTAAATCGGGAGAGTATCTGTTGAGAAAAAGCTCATCAAAGATGTCCAAATGTTTCATAACCAAATCTAATAGCAACATCTCTGCATAATCGCCTTGTGTAATTTTGCGTTCTAAAGGTTTTATGAGGTGCGATAAACAACAATAGCAGTACTATCCATTTTATCAGTAAATTATTAAATGGCGATGATGTTCTAATTCATTCAATATCTAAGTCATTCGACGACTTAGAGGGATTACCTAGAGAAATGACCTAGAGTGATGATCTAGCGAGATGACCTAGAGAGATGATTATAGGCTTGTCATGTGAATATTTTACACGACTTTTGAAGCTAGAAAAAAAAGACCTGAAATAGGCCAATTTATCTCTTACATAATGCTTCTTCAAGTTAAAATCTGTAATTATTGATGTTACATTATAACAAATATCGTTAGTTCTACAAAACACTGAATTATCAAATATGACAATCTATCAAAATAAAATAAGACAAACATTATCAGAAGCATTTTGATGCAGCCATTTTGATTACAATAAGCATATTGAAGCAGTGATAGTATATATAGAATGATATACATGACAGGAATATTGGTACTTTGTTTAATTGATGCTACTTGTCATAATCATATACATGTACTTCATTCCCATCAACACAATAAACATTCTATTTCAGTGAGATGGGGGGCTGGGACCAACTGCAATTTGAGAAGGGGGTGGGCTACTGCAAGGATGGGAACAAGGGAGGGCCTGACTTAGGTTTCATTGGTCATGGCAATGGAAGGGGTGTGGCAAACTGAGCGGTTGTGGCAATGTGGGGAGTGGGGAAGTGGGATGCTAACTGAGGTTTTATTGGGGAGTGGGGAAGTGGGATGCGAACTGAGTTTTTTTTATTGGGTAGTGGGGAAGTGGGATGCGAACTGAGGTTTTATTGGGGATTGAGAAAGTGGGATGCTAAATGAGTTTTTTTTTATTGGGGAGTGGGGAAGTGGGATGCTAACTAAAACATCTCTCACTACTGGTGCTGCTACTGGTTCATCTAGAACCCCATCACTCAAACCAGTCCCACCATCCATATCTAACAAACCATTTGATTGGTTTGAAACATCACCCATATCTAACAAACCATTTGATTGGTTAGAAACATCACCCATATCTAATAAGCCACCTGATTGGTCTAATGATGAACTTACTTCAAACTGTCCATCAGTGGAGCCCCCTTCAAACTCATCTAGACTGCCTCCAAAATCATCCTGAAAGTTTATATTGATATAAAAATACACATGCAACATGCAGTTTGTAAGCAACTAATCTATATCAACTCAGGTAACTGGCTGTTGCAGCACATCTTCATAACATCAAAATATTATATCTATAACAGAATGGTTAATCTTATAACAAGATAAATTCACATCAGACTGGGTAATTCAGTCAAAATATTACATGTAGATTTATAAGATGTGTACCTTGACATAATGAAAATGATAAAGATTCGTTGCCAGGCAACTAGCAGAGTGGTGTGAGCAATTTATAAAGAGCATCACATTTCTATTCTATTTTAGATAATTGAAGAATTTATAAGGCACTAAAAACTAAGTCAAAAGTCATCAAGTAATTATCAGAAAAAAATTAATTTAATTGACAACTTTGTAGCGCTCACAAAGATGTACCAGTAATTGGATAATGATAACTTTATCTGCCAATCAAAATCATTGCCAATCAAGAGATTTCGTCTTGCAAAAATATACAATGTGTCTAAATATCAAGTCAATCAGATGAAACTTTAAGCTGAAGTCAATCAGATGATAACTTTAGGCTCAAGTCAATCAGATTATAACTTTAGGCTCAAGTCAATCAGATGATAACTTTAGCCTCAAGTCAATCAGATGATAACTTTAGCCTCAAGTCAATCAGATGATAACTTCAGTCTCAAGGGCCCAAAACTCTGAAAGCAATAAGAAATCTTTAAAATCAAATCAATTAAGTTATGGACGACTGGTAGATAACAGTGATGACAATAAACAACCACATTTCAGTGTGGGTGTATAAACAAATGTCTAACTTCATTCAGATAAATATTTCAATCTTCAAAGTTTAATTACATGAAATGATGATAGATCAGCTGATACCATTAAATCATATCAATCAATGTAAATAAATTCATGCATAAATAATACCGGTAAATGATTTAAACCAAAAATATAAACTTGCTTAAAGCGATAATTTCATATTTTATAAGAAAGTCAAAACATAATTATTTCTATGTCTTTTGCTCAATAGGTTGTCAACTCACTATTATACAATTATAGGTATTATTCTCCCTCTTAAAAATCCTTTGACCCCAGAAATAATAACACAATTACCTCCCTTGTTTTTCTATTCCCCCCATGGAATAGCTATCTTCAAACGTTTGAATTTAAAGTTGAAAATGATATTTTTGCCAATTTCTCAACTGGCAATAGTGAATTATAGGATTAATAGGATTATTCTTTAACAAGGTAGGACTGTTTATAGATACCATCTATTTTAAGGCTTTATTTTAATAAATTTTAAAAATATAACTTAAAAATATGAAATTGCAGCTTTAATATAAACAAATTCAGCAACAAAAGCATTCCATACATGTAATAACTGTATTTATAATAACATTCAATCTATATAGAATATGTGTGATATGATTCCAGTATAATGTTCTAAAAATAAGGCGACCAGCTGAGTTTTGTAATTTTTGCAGTTTTTCAAATTGTTTGAAGATTACAACGTACATGATAGAATAAAAAGAATCTATGCCAGACGTAACTACATCGATATTCTGGTTGACTGAGAAGTGACAATGCAACTATCTCCTGCTTATACCATAGATCAAAGTTCAACTTTATTCAGTTTAAAGAAGGGGGGTTTAATATAGGCTATGCCTGTTCCCCAATCCCTATTCAGATACAAATCTGAATAAAATATTGCTTATAAAAAAAAAAGAAAAAAGAAGACACTATAACCAAATATTCTGCCACATCTGCATTAAGTTTCAAAAACTATTGTTTATCCAAATTTTAATGTCTGCAATACAAGTTTCAATAGTCAGCTTGGAAATGTCAAAATCACTTTTAATACTAGGTTTGAACAAAATGTACAATTGTGTATCATCTGCATATATAGATGAAATAATAATCGATGATGTCTAACTTTGAGGCCAAGTGGTTTAGTGTATAAGCTATACAAGATTGGTCCGAGGACTTTGATAACACCACCAAAATTTTTTTTTATTTCATTTACTTTCTTTTTTTTTCTCATCAATTCCAATATAAATTGAGGGCAGCTCCTTAACTTTTCAAAATAAGGACCACCCAAACTCGGCCTTGTATAAATTCAATAATTTTAAGAGCATTCCATAAAATACTACATCTATTTATTATAAAGTGACAAACCTGACTAGCTACTGGTACTTCATCACCAAATGCACCAAAACCATCATCTGTAAAACAGCAACAACAGAATATGAGAGAGAGAGTGAGAAATTGGGGTTTAACGTTCACTTGACACATACTAACTATGTCATTTCAGGACTAATACAACATTTTATTTCAATAATTCGCGTGTGGTTAGGGATCTTTAGCCGTAGGAGGACCTGAGGAAACCCACACATTTGGACGGACGGGGAATAAAAGCCATGCCACTTGTGATCTAACGGGCACTGTTAAACCATTCTTGAGGTATATTGTCTGCGATATCACCTCGGTGGAAGCGGACGTAAAATACAACTAACTCATCATCATATAAAAGTTTTGAGTGGGATTTAAAGCAGTTTTTTTTTTAGATTAATTAGTTTGAATATGTTTTTAGTCAAAGGCTGTACTGTAGCAGTTCTTATCTAACCACTATAAATTAAAATAAATTGGGTTTTCTTGTCCTAGAGGGTAATCTAGCCAGCTCAATCTGCAAGGACAACAAAATTAGAAATGGTTCCACTACTAATGTCTTTGGTCTTACTCCAGCCACAGTAGTGGATCGTGAGCAAGTTTTTTTAGTCAAATGACTCCAAAAATGTTACTGGCCTACAGCTCCCTTAATTTCCACATAAACTTACCCCAAACTGTACTGTACATAGTTTAATATATAATAAACAAATTCCCATTGAAATAAAGGTGAAGCCTTACCGCATACATGTTATTATATGATTTGATGGAACCCAACTGATACGCCAAATTTCTCTCCTATTCCAACTTAAAATGTCCGCCCAGCCAGAACTAGCATTTTATTTTTATTCTTAGTTTATTCCTATTCTGTTTTTAATACTCTATGATAAAGTTTTGTTTAAACATACATTATGCAAGAGCAAAATTTGATTATTGCATGTCTTAATTTAGGCTTCAGATGTTATAAATTAAATCTTTATTTAAACAACAAGCCCAAAATCAACTCTGTAGACCCACGGATGGCTCGGCTACAGCTCGGATTTAAATAGGATTTCACTTATTAATTAATTCAAATATGGCGCATCCTGAGGAGAATGCGTCAGTTAGATCGAGGCTAAATGATAGAGTGTACTTAGCGAGGCCGCTTTAGAGCATTTCCGCACGCCATTGAAAACTTTACTTGATAATCGAGGTATGTAGGTGGAGTTAACACCTGTCAATCAAACGATCGGCCAAGGTGAAAGCACATTTCACTACCATTTCTAGTCAAATATTACAACAATAACTTTGTTCAGAATAAAGTAATTTGACTGAAATTTTCAATATATTCTTCTTTTATCATCTATTTTTGAACTGTTATAGCAAGAATGGCCAACTCTCTATTAAAATCTCCCATAATGTATCTTTAAATATGTTATTGTATTATTGTATCACTATTGATTATGATTATGTATAGATCAAGTCCAACTTCAAGTAATTATTTTATTTTCTGTACCGCTATTTCAAACATCAGAAAGAGAGAGAAATGGGTTTAACGTCCACTCGACACAAACTAGGTCATTTCGGGACTAACATATGGTTTAATTTTATTTCAAAAATTCGCTTGCGCATAGGGGTCTTTAGCAGTGGGAGGGGACCGGAGGACCCGGAGAACACCCACGAGGTTGGACAAGCGACTCTACTCCTTGTCACGTACAACCAGGGATTTGAAACCACGCCAGTTGACGCAATGACAGGCTTTATGATACAGCACGCACGTGCTAACCATTCGGCCATCCAACCCCCCTCAAACATCAGAAAATAACCTATTCAAGTTATGTGTCATGTGTTTGTATGGTTGTGTTGTTGCATAAATGAGCTTCGTTTTGGTGAAATAATTATGTCTCTAGCACTTTTCGTTTCTGAGATATGGAGTAGGAATGAAAATTGAAGCAAAATTGAAGCAAAATGGCCAATTTCGCAAAAAGGGGTCCGCCAGTTGGCGTTAATAAACGGACAGTAACTCCGTCAATTCTGCACCGATTTTGATAAACTTGATGTTGTTACAATGCTGAGATGGGCAGCTTTCGGAAAATTACAGGGTATTCGACAAAAAAAAATAATATTTAAAAATAGCTGCTGGTCGCTATAATTAGAGAGGCGGGGCATGATAATTTGATATTTTGACTTTTTTCACCGGGTGGAAATAAAAACCATTATTACGACGTTCCGATTAAAATACTGAAATACCTTGGGGGACAGATGAATCTGTGGGATTATCGTCTTCCAAACCGGCGAGTTCCGATTGTTCTCTGGCCAAAAAATCCGCGGCTGGGTCGTCTTCCATGTTTCCGGATAAATTATTACTTTCAAGATCAGCCATTAATTTGTTCAGATATAATCGATCATCCAGTCGCCCGATAAATTCAACGGAGTCAACGAAAGCAAAAGGACTGGAAAGTAGAGAAAAGTTGACGTTCAAAGCGGAAATCAATAACGCCAGCTCTCCGCAGTCAATAAATAATGTCACTTCTTTGGTGAATAAATAGAAGCGTGATGTTCCAACAAGAATATAAAATACCGCAGTTTTATTTGTTTCATCCATAAAAAAATGAATCAATAAAAAAGTACACTTATTAAACGTGGAATCATGATGACTCGAATCCTAATTCTTTTTGTTTTGTTAAATCAAATAAATTCATCATATTTTTCTGACTCAGTGAATCATGTGGACCATAACGTCGGATGTAAACAAGAAAAGCTCCACGATTGCCTGATGAGTAAAATATCTTAAAATAACTTCTATTCACCTTGGCATTTCACCACATTCCAATCACGAGAAATGGCGGCACGTGAAATAGATGTCACTGAAATTAAATCGGCGAAAATTGCAACTGACATGGATGCAACGCAATCGAAAAACGAGAAAGAGCAGACGACAAGAAGTTTAGAGGAAGAAGAATTAAATGCCAAATCGTTTACGTCGGCTTTACGAGAGAAATATTGTTTTGATAATTACACACCAAGTGGTTCTTGTATCATACAGTTTCATTCAAAGGCTTCTAAAGATGGATCCAAAGCTGAGCTGTCACATTTGAGAAATGTGGTAAGTTATTAATCAAGTTTGGCTGTTGACAGCAGGTCGATTGCATGCAAAGTTTAAGACTTGTGACACAATGTCTTGTGTGCTGTATATGATATCTGGGAATGCCTAGAATGATATGCCCTGGCCCTGTAGGCTGTGGTCTCGCAAGTTTAAAAATACTTACTGACTTGGTCGTGCAGATTTCCCTTTGGCTCACATTAAAATGTTGCAAATAGTCTACGAAGAAAAAAGGTCATGCCTGACCGGGCAGGGTGGTTTACCCAAGGTAATCGAATACCAAAAATTGACAGAATCTTGATATCCAAATATCTCAAACCACTGTATAATTATATAGATCAAGAGCTGTAGTGATGAAAGAACTAATAAGTTAATTGGCATTTAGAGCAAATTCACAACACCCGGTCTTACAAGGTTGGAGTGGGACATTTGACAAAGGTTTGGAGGGGGGGGGGGGGGGCAGCAGGTAGCTCACAAACCCCTGTCTTACAAGGTTTAAGTGGGGTAGCTCACAACACCCACCCCTACAAGGTTTGAGCGTAGGCAATTGGCCGGGATTGGCATTTGACCTAGACAGACAGATCAAAAGGTATAAAAAGGGTCAATATTTGTCTCATCTCATAATAAATAAAATGATCAGTATTATTTCCAAAATATTGTCATATTAAGTCTGAATATAAAACTGATAAATTTCACCTAGAAAGGGGGACCTTGCCATTTTCAGACTGCCCTAAAAAAGTGATATGTAGCTAGCCTACCATTCCGCACAAATTTCAGTCATATTACTTGTGATATGAGGCAATTTATTATGGGCAACATGCAAAATGGGACTTTAACGCCATTTCATTTTACTGCTGATGGGAGGGAGGGAGAGAGGGAGAGAAAGAGAGAGAGAGTTTAATTTTATTTCAATAATTCGCTTGCATGTATATAGGTGTCTTTAGCAGTGGGAGGAAATCGAAGCCCCCCCCCCCCCCCCCCCCCCGGAGAAAACCCATGAGGTTAGGTTAGGAGAAGAGAGAGCTGATTAGTCTCCTACATGCTGAATCGGCAATCCAAACAACACATTTGACTTAGTAACAGACCTTATAACATACAAGCTGACTGGGCAATCAAAACAAAACCATTTCATGACTCAATAACGGAGACAGAAGTAATGATCTAACACATTTGACCATTCAACCACCCCACCTACCACTAACATATTTGACCATTCAACCACCCCATCAACCACTAACAAATTTGACCATACAACCACCCCACCTACCACTAACATATTCAACCATTCAACCACCCCACCAACCACTAACATATTTGACCATTCAACCACCCCACCTACCGCTAACAGGGGCCCGGTTGCGAAAGAGAGAGAGATTCAGCTATCCCCCTCTACCCATGCTGCATATCCTTATTATTATGCAAGTGAATATTTAAACATTTTAGAAGACGTGTCTTGTACACAATGACTGGCGTGGTTTCGAATCCCCGCTTGTACGTGACAAGGAGTAGGGTCGCCTGTCCAACCTCGTGGGTTTTCTCTGGGTCCTCCTGTTTCCTCACACTGCTAAAGACCCCTACGCGCAAGCGAATTATGTAAATAAAATTAAACCATATGTTAGTCCCGAAATGACCTAGTTTGTGTCGAGTGGACGTTAAACCCCATTTCTCTCTCTCTCTCTTTTGTACATAATGACATTTCTCTGCTAAAAATAATTTGTGTTTTGCGCTTAATTGCCCAAGACATGAGGAATATGTACAGTGTGGTACGGTACCATTAATATGTGGTACCATGACAGATTCATTGCCCAGGATGTGGGAAATATGTAAAATGTGGAACCATAACAGATTTACTTAGTCTATCAATATAATATTTTGTAATTTTTTTATATAGGATTTGAGCAGAAGTTGTTTTATATGATATTACAGGATTTGAGTGCAACTGGTCTGGTATGTGCTGGTTTACCAAATGATGGCCTGGCATCTTTATGTCCTAATATAGTAGATTTAAATATATCCTGGAACAATCTTGATGCTTGGAATAAAATATTACCTATTTTATATCAACTACCGTATCTACAATATGTCAATTTGTCTGGAAACCAGATTATTTCACATCAGGTGAGGAGATACAGTCAGTATTTTGTTTTAGGCGTTTGATCGGGCTAAAGTGCTATCAGTACTCTATATAGACTGTAAATCATGTACTGGTACTCTACATAGACTATAAATCATGTACTGATACTCTATATAGAATGTAAATCATGTACCAGTACTCTATATAGACTGTAAATCATGTACTGGTACTCTATATAGACTGTAAATCATGTACTGGAACCCTAGATAGAATTTAAATCATGTACTGGTACCCTATATAGAATGTAAATCATGTACCAGTACTCTATATAGACTGTAAATCATGTACCGGTGCTCTATATAGACTGTAAATCATGTACCTGTACTCTATATAGACTGTAAATCATGTACTGGTACTCTACATAGACTGTAAATCATGTACTGGTACTATAAATAGATTGTAAATCATGTACCAGTACTCTATATAGACTGTAAATCATGTACCAGTACTCTATATAGAATGTAAATCATGTACCAGTACTCTATATAGACTGTAAATCATGTACTGGTTCTCTATATTGACTACCGTATAAATCATGTACCTGTACTCTATATAGACTGTAAATCATGTACCGGTGCTCTATATAGACTGTAAATCATGTACCTGTGCTCTATATAGACTGTAAATCATGTACCAGTACTCTATATAGACTATAAATCATGTACCAGTACCCTATATAGAATGTAAATCATGTACTGGTACTCTATATAGACTGTAAATCATGTACCGGTGCTCTATATAGACTGTAAATCATGTACCAGTACTCTATTGAATGAAAGGACTCACTCTACTTATTAGGATATAAGAGGATGGTTTATTGAATTATTCCAGTCGAATACAATGGTTTATTAAATTACTAGTAGGATACCTGACTTAGTCCTGGGCCCAAATTTGCCTGGTGCCCAAATTCGCCAGGTGCCCAAATTGGATGGCCTAAAACATTCCCAGGGTTGTGCTGGTTAATTTGATACCACATATGTGGTGTGGAGCGTGGCAACGAAGCGTGAGTTGCCCATGGCCAAGCACTAATTTGCTCGGGGCCCAAATTTGATCGCCTAAAAATTCACAGGGTCATGCTGGTTAGTTTAACCCGTTAAGTGTGTAGGTCGTTATATTATGTCCTGGACAACTGCCACTCACTGTGTGTAGGGCGTAATATAACACCTTGGAGGTATTTTCCCCAACCTATTCTTCGAACATACGATCGCAGCATGTGTAGGACGTTATATTACGCCTGGTCGAGGAAATCTAATTGAAGGGAGACAATTCTATTTACCGTTAGTTTTAATATGGTTTCAGACTACTATATAGGGGATAGTTAACGTTTTAAAAACTACACACTTAACAGGTTAATACTGGTCACATGTGGGGGTGGAGCGCGGGGATGAAGCATTATTTATATAGATATTCCATGGTATATTGAAAATATAAGATTTTATTCCCCTGAATATCAGAGAAAAAAATTTTGGATTTATATATTTAAGCAATATTTGGATGAATTAGAAAAACCGTTAGAGAGTATCCAGAATTTGGTGTTAAATCATACCAACATTTCTCTAGAAGAGGTTTTAAAATTAACCAGAATTTTACCATCACTTAAAGAATTACATATCTGTAATAATGGTTAGTATATCTGTGATAATGGTTCGTATATCTGTAATATTGGTTGGTATATCTCTAATAATGGTTCGTATATCTCTTATAATGGTTAGTATATCTTTAATAATGGTTAGTATATCTGTAGTAACGGTTGGTATATCTGTAGTATATCTGTAATAATGGTTAGTATATCTGTAATAATGGTTCGTATATCTGTAATAATGGTTCGTATATCTGTAGTATATCTGTGATAATGGTTAGTATATCTGTAGTAACGGTTGGTATATCTGTAGTATATCTGTAATAATGGTTAGTATATCTGTAATAACGGTTGGTATATCTGTAATAACGGTTAGTATGTTGACATCAAATCATGTTATAACCTATTTTCACTAGAAAAGGAAACCATCAAATTTCTTTAATTTCTGAGAAACGTTGTCTCATGATAAACTTCTGATCTGCGTATGAATTTCTGGTTCCTTGATGACACTCTGGCTAACAAACAAACTGCTTTATTGGGGCAATTTGAAACTGATGTAATAGACTAAAAAATGAATTTGTATAATCTGGCTGAGCTGGTTTAACATGCCAATATATAATTTACCCACCGGCATAATATTTATTCTACTAATATGTGAAATAGCAGCCTTTTTTGCTTGGGATAATATCGTTATTTTAAGACATTTAACTTTATCATCATTTGATTTTAATTTGTCGAGATCAAAACCTGAATTTCTGATGACACTTATCAATTTTAAAGATACATTATGGGGGATTAGATAAAGAGCTGGCAGTTCACTCTATAATAGTTACAAACTAGATAATGTAATGGGAATTTGCTGAAAATTTCAGTCAAATTGATCCAATCTGAACTGAGAATTTAGCGATTGAATTTCAGGCCTAGCCTCGATCATCTTTACTAAAGTCGGTACGATAAAAAAAATAGTCACGATTATCCATCAATGAGCATTGAGCAGCAGATCAGATTCTAATCCAGTAAATATTGTAGGCTAGTGATGACATTGAGAGTTGATTATGGTCTGGATAAGTTAATTAATGTCTAATTCATAATTTAGATAACATTTCAGTCCTAAAAAAAGACCTACAATAGGCAGATTTAGGTCTTGCATAATGTAGGTTTAAGTGTTTCGGAAAAATTATTTTGGTCAGAAATCAAGAAGGAATTGTATACGTTACACTGGCTTGTCATTAACTGTAAACATTTCATCCATTTTGGTTTTCTTTTCTGTAGACTGGATCTGAGGAGCAGATGAAAGCAGGTGATATAACGATTGTTATTTCTGTAATGATCTAAGTTTTGTTAAATGGATTCTATTTGTGTATTTGAAGGGTACAGAGAATTATGTTGTATAGAAGACAATACACTGAAAAATATAGAATGTTTGAGAGCAAATAATAACCAGTTAAAAAGGTAATTATATATAATGTCTGAGAGCTAAAAAACGTAAAGTATTTCTATCCAATAAAAAGGTAGGTATTAGAGGCAGTTTATGGTAGAAGGGTATCTGGCAGAAGATCAGACACCACATGCATGTGAATACCAAATAAAGAATTTAATGCCAAGAAGTTCTAGGTTTTCATCTGTTACATTAAAACACACGAAAGAGTGTGAGAGTAGAGAGGAGAGGAGAGAGTCATTACGGGACTAACACATGGTTCAATTTTATTTCTATAATTCACTTGCGCGTAGGTGTCTTTAGCAGTAGGAGGAAACTGGAGGACCTGGAGAAAACCTACGAGGTTGGACAGGTGACCCTACTCCTTGTCACGTACAACCAGGGAATCAAAACCCCACCAGTTGACTCAATGACAGACCTTATGATACGGCGTGCACATGCTAACCATTCAGCCATCCAACCCCTGCAGCCGATTAAGGACACTGGGCCCAATATAGTATAAAGTGTTAGAGGACCGACATGGTATAAAACAAATATGGAAAATAAACAACATTGAGATCAGTATGCGTAACAAAAGCAGACTAACCCAAACACAGAGAATTTGTTGTTAATCATGGTTAAAGATTTGTCTACTTTTGTTTTACAGTTGGTCTGAAGTATGGAAATTACGTCACCTGATGAATTTACAGTCTCTGATTCTCTCTGGGAATCCCCTTCAAGATGTTTTTTATGATCATCAATGCTGCGAAAATGAAACAGCTTGTAATGATAATGACAGCACGGCATCTCGAGACAGTGGTAATAATACGTTGCAAGACCGTGATACTTCTAATAATGACAGCACGACATCACAAGACAATGGTAATAATACCTTGCAAGACCGTGATACTTCTAATAATGACAGCACGGCATCACAAGACAATGGTAATAATACCTTGCAAGACCGTGATACTTCTAATAACCAGGGCTGTGATCAAAATGACATTTTTGCTCAACCTGGCTGTAGCTCAGCACTACAAACAAGTGAAAATAAAACAACAATTCCAGAAACTGATATTTTAACTAGTGAGGCAGCTGTTCGTGTAAGCTCTTCTCAACCTCAGCCAATCGCTGCCTCCCAACACAAGTCATGTGACACAATACATAGGTCCGAAGTCCAATCAGAAATTTTAGAAGCTTGTCAAAATGTTGTCAGTGATTTGTTTAATACCGCCTGTGAGAATTCTTTAATCGATAGCGAAAATATGGAACAGAATTATTTTGAATCGGTAGAAAGAGAAGACGAAGAAGGTCAAAATTCACAGAGTCAAAAATCTCAATCAACAAGTGATGATTCCGATTTCAATTCCTCTGAAAATACGTCCTCCTCTTTATCGGATGTAAAATCTGTGAAAACAAAACGTGGCTGCGATGATGATTCTGAACGGAATCGACAACGTTACGACTCTCTACAGAGTGAAGATGGCGGAGAAGTCACTACTCGGTTGAATCAACCATCAACAATAGAAGAAGAAGGTCAAAAGACGGAAGGAGAAGGGATAAATAAATTGTGTAAACCATTTAGAAAACTTCACACTTTATGTTTAACAGAAACTAAAGTTGATCACTGGAAACATTTACAAGCTTTAACTCAATTCCCTGTCTTAAAATCTGTTCGATTAAAGGTAAGGTTTCTCTCAGGTCCCGGTTTCTCACTCTCCCTGGTCCCGGTTTCTCACTCTCCCAGGTCCCGGTTTCTCACTCTCCCAGGTCCCGGTTTCTCACTCTCCCAGGTCCCGGTTTCTCACTCTCCCAGGTCCTGGTTTCTCACTCTCCCAGGTCCCAGTTCGATTAAAGGTAGGTAAAGTTTCTCTCTCTGTCAGTTCCCGGTTTGATTAAAGGTAAGGTTTCTCACTGTCTTAGGTCCCAGTTCGATTAAAGGTAAGGTTTCTCACTCTCCCAGGTCCCAGTTCGATTAAAGGTAAGGTTTCTTACTCTCTCAGGTCCCAGTTCGTTAAAGGTAAGGTTTCTTACTCTCTCAGGTCCCAGTTCGTTACAGGTAAGGTTTCTCACTCTCTCATGTCCCAGTTTGATTAAAGGTAAGGTTTCTTACTCTCTCAGGTCCCAGTTCGTTACAGGTAAGGTTTCTCACTCTCTCATGTCCCAGTTTGATTAAAGGTAAGGTTTCTTACTGTCTTAGGTCCAGGTTCGATTAAAGGTAAGCTTTTTGAATTGGCTTATTTTGAATCCTTAACTTTTGACAGTGTATGTATACAATATCCATCTTATTTGAATAAAATATTGTTTAAATCAAGGTAAGCTTTCTCATAATCATGCCGGCATTAGTCTTAAAAACAAACTGCTCAACTTCAAGATTTTACAATGTATTAGTGTTCGCACAAATATTTCTGTATTCAAATTCAAGTTTTTTTATCTCAATATTACCAAAGAGAGAGAGAGAGAGAGAGAGAAATGGGGTTTAACGTCCACTCGACACAAACTAGGTCATTTCGGGACTAACATATGGTTTTTAATTTTATTTCAATAATTCGCTTGGCCGTAGGGGTCTTTAGCAGTGGGAGGAAACCGGAGGACCCGGAGAAAACCCACGAGGTTGGACAGGCGACCCTACTTCTTGTCACGTACAACCGGGGATTCGAAACCACGCCAGTCAACTCAATGACAGACTTTATGATACAGCGCGCGCACGCTAACCATTCAGCCATCCAACCCCCCCAATATTACCAAACACTGGTCCATTCTGTAATAGAAACTACTGTAATAATGGAGCATAATGTTATTACCGGATACAGGTCTATATTTTTATAGGGGGGGTGGATGGCCGAATGGTAAGTGCGTGCGTGCTGTATCACAAGATCTGTCATTGAGTCAACTGGCGTGATTTTGATTCCCCGGTTGTACTTGACAAGGTGTAGGGTTGCCTGTCGAACTTCATGGGTTTTCTCCGGGTCCTCCGGTTTCCTCTCCCAATGCTAAAAACCTATATGCGCAAGCAAATTATTGAAATAAAAATGAACCATATGTTAGTCCCAAAATGACCTAGTTTGTGTCGAGTGGATGTTAAACCCCATATATCTCTCTCTTTCTCATATTTTTATATTATTACAGGATACAGGTCTATATTGTGATGCTAAAGAAAAGGACAGAAGATTGTTATTATTAGCCAGGTAATATGAGTTATAATTGTTATTATTAGCCAGGTAATATGAGTTATAATTGGCCAGGTAATATGAGTTATTATTGGCCAGGTAATATGAGTTGTAATTGACCAGGGCCCTGTTTCACCAAAACTATAATCTACTTAAAATCATATTAAACTAAAATTTTATCCTAACTTAACATAGGTGAGTTATTATTACAGTTTACCCAATATACAGGTATTTACAGGTAATGTTATTATTACAGTTTACATACAGGTATTTAATGTTTTTATTACAGTTTACCAAATATACAAATATTTAATGGAAGTGAAGTGACGTCGACAGAGAGGGAAACATCCGAGAGATTTTTTATCCGACATTATCTCGATCACGACGAGTCTGAGAAACCTGGTCGAGTTGAACAACTGGAAAACAAACATGGTAAAATATTGTTACATTTCATATATGGTATAAATCAGGAAGTGGTTCTAATATTACCCAGTCCATCGGAAGTGATTTCTAATATTACCCAGTCTATCTGGAATGAGTTGTAATATTACCCAGTCTGTTTAGAAGTGAGTTGTAATATTACCCAGTCTGTCTAGAAGTGAGTTGTAATATTACCCAGTCTGGAAAGTAAGTTGCAATATTACCCAGTCTGTCTACAAGTGAGTTCTAATATTACCCAGTTTAAAAAATGAGTTGCAATATTACCCAGTCCGTCTGGAAAGTGAGCTCTAATATTACCCAGCATAACCTCAGTCTTGTGTTTTATCCTAAACAGAAAGTTTGACAGACAAAAGGAATTAGTAAAACAATGAAAATCTGAGACGTACAAGAAACACAGACCCTTGAGTCTGTGGTAAATCAACGATTTATGCAGAATCATAGTTGTTACATTTAGAATTGCAAGATTCAATCAATCTGATTAAAACACAGATCTTATTTCATTTTGTTTTTATAGTTCAAAATTTTGTTTTACTGGTCTTTACTCGCTAGAATCTGGAAGAGTTGTTATATTATCGGCGTTCTGGTTGAAGTAAGGGATTAGCAAATGAAGCAGTCTGTTCCGGCGATTTCTAGGCGTGCGATGCACGGAACGGTGGGTAAACCACAAGAAACATCAAAGCTGATAGATTAATCAGTGTCAAAAGATGCTGGTACGACCCCTGACATGACCTTCCAATACAGCCGGTCAGATCTTCATGTAGTGTAGGCCACTGAAAGTATAAAAAAATGAAACGAAATTTAGATCTGTATTTTAATCAAAATGAGATTTGCAATCATCCATTATATAGTGGGTATAATATGTTGTGTGTTATATCATGGACCGTATATAGATGGACGGGCAATTAGCCCTGTTGGTTAGTTTCTCTGCCACTCGCACGAGATATGACGAGATCTCAATGTCAACGGCAAATCAAGCAATGTGATATTGACATTGCAGGATTTTATACAGATTAATTTCTCGAACTCATCCTTAGAATTTATGGTATTCTTATAGTTACGTAGTAATTTTTCAACCCGATAAGTATTCCTATCCGGTAGTGACGAATATCTCCAGTTTAGAACTTTGAAATTTCCAAATGCAGCAGTTGAAAATTGTGAAATGATTGATTTCAATATTTTCATAGAATTTGTGAGCATTTTGGTTTTGCTTAATACTCAAAATTCCCGCATGTATGAAGGATTTTAAAATTATGAAAATAAAGTTCAGGTATAATTCTGGTCAGAATGATGATTAATTGTGCAGAAGTAAAAATTAAAAGAGTGTTTTAGTAGGTTTGTTTTTAACGAAAACTTGACATGTTTTTTTCGGATTCACATGGCCGCGTCCGAAGTAAACAAAGACGATGTGTTGATACATTTACACCCCAATCATCAGTTAGTAGTCTATCTATGTATGGGTTGCAATTGCAAAAAGAGTAGCAAGATTAATAAAAATATTATGAAGTGATTTCTGTTTCTTTGCTTTTAAACTTAATACTAGTAATTGCGCGAGGGGAGGTAATTTTATTTTAGTCACGATTGTCCGGTCTATACTGATGTCCAAAAGAAAGTATACACACTAAAAGTATGACTAAGTTTTGTTTAGATTAAAAACATTTGATAAAGCATTACTGAGTTTGTCTCTTGCGTCCAAACTCAACATTTCTAAGCAAAATAAATATGTGAAACAAATTGACATTCTACCCAAATACCGTATACCATGGAAAAACAACTTTGGTTGATGCAGCACAAAATGCACAGTGTATACTTTCTTTTGGACATTAGTATATTTTTTGACGCAGCACATTATTCTAAAGGCTTCGTGGACATTGCCTGTCCATCTATTCACGGTCCATGGTTATATATATATTTGTAGGAAAACTGAGTAAGGTTGTGGATGTGTTTATTGGAGGTAAATTTAATGCAAATCCTACAGCTACAGTCGTATTTTATCACAACGATCGTAAACTACTTACACAGAAGTTGAACCTTAAAGACACAGTTCATAAATTGTTCAGATTCGTAAAAAGAAAAGTGAATATGCATGTATGGTATGTACCATTTCAGATTTTAAAAGCTACATTTTAAGAAAAGGTTGCTAGGCAACAAGATACATGCCCACAGCAGCTAAGTTATATGAGCAGTCAACAAGGGTTGTCACATATTTATTATTTTGGTCGGTAATGGGAATATTTACAAGGTTTTACAAAGTGAAACAAGGGCCATAACTCTAGAAGATATTAACGGAAATTGTTAGTTTGATAGACTTCTTTGTTCGAGCTTTCAGATGGTTCTACAAAGTGAAACAAGGGCCATAACTATTGAAGTAATTAATGGAAATGAGCTATGATGGACATAATGTCTTAAACGATATCTGAAATCGTCGAGAGTTTTATATTTATCTAGTTTTACTCACTCCAGTCACCTCAAACAATTTCACCCTTTACCGAAACGGATAAAGTACTGGAGTATAATCTGCCAATCATAAAGATTAACCATTATACTGAAATACAAAATATTCTGTAAATTTATACAGCAAATTTATACTGAAGTCAAACTGAAGTCAAACTGAAGTCAAAATACTTCGTAATTTGAACAGCAAATTTAGCTGATTTGGTTTTCATATAGATTACCATCATCATTTAGATCGTGAGTAGAAATCTTAAACAATAAGATGTAGTCCCGAAGGGTCATCACTTTCTTGGTTTACTTTTACCTATTTTCAGGTGAAACTACAAACACGACACTGCAATCTTGCATATTTAGCCCCTAATTTCTTTCACATTCATTCAATATCAAATCTTGGTTTGAAGATTCATCAAAATAGTTTAAAGTCACCCCAAATCATCTAATTTGTACTTGTGTCCAGTTTAAAGCTGACCGTTCAGTTCTGATAATGTGCTTCCAATTTACAAGCATTTAATATCTTGACCACTGTTAATTATTAATTAACAATTAATTATCATACATCCTGTAATTAGACAATTCATGTAATCTTGTACAGTCTGATTAAAACACAGATCCTATTTCATTTTATTTTATAGTTCAAAATTTCGTTTTACTTCAATTTACTACACTAGGATCTGGCAGAATTGTTTATTAACGGCGTTCTGGTTGAAGTGAGGGATTACCCAATGAAATGGTCTGTTATGGCGAGCTCTTGGTGTTTGATGCACGAAACTGTGGATAAACCACTAGAAAAGTCAATGCTGATTGATTAATCAGTGTCTGACGTCATAGGGTCAAAAGCCACTTGTATGACCCCTGACACAACCTTCCAGTACAACTGATCAGATGTTCATGTAGTGTAGGCCATCGAAAGTATAAAAAAACGAAACAAAATATAGATCTGTATTTTAATCAGATTGACAACCTTTAATTAGACAAATCATGTTGTTTATTTTTTAACAGTGATCAGGAAACTAAACGATACCTGGGTTAAACTATTTGTTAAAGATACATTATGGGAGATTCGATAACGAGTTGGCAGTTCTCACTATAATAGTTAAAAATTAGATAATCTAAAGGCAATTTGCTGAAAATTTCATTCAAATTGATCCACTATGAACCGAGAACTAAGCGATTGAAATTCCACCTAGCCTCGATCATCATTACTAAAGTCGGTATGATAAACAGCATAGTCTCGATTATCCATTTAATCGTTAAATCGTGAAGGAAAGTTATGCAGTAAATCGGCTCATAATCCACTTAAAATCGCAGGCTAGCGATGCCATCTAGAGTTGATCATGGTGTGGATAGGTTAATTAATGTCTAATTAATAATTTAGATAACATTTCAGGCCTAAAGAAAGACCTGCAATAGACAGATTTAGCTCTTGCATAATGTATGTTTAAACAGTTACAAACAAATTTCATTATAGTTAAATAAGAACAATATTTGTTGTATTTCAGTGCATTCAACTTATATCATTTTCCATGTGGTTCGGGACATGACTTTAAAACAGATCTTGGAGAATTTCCTGAGAAGGAGGAATTATTTATATCATACTTACCATTGAGTAGATTTAATATTTACGACGGAGATGAGATTCACATTGAATCACCCAAATCATGGGATACGGCCTCACATTGAGTCAACTGGCGTGGTTTCGAATCCCGGGTTGTATGTGACAAGGAGTAGGGTTGCCTGTCCAACATTGTGGGTTTTCTCTGGGTCCTCTGGTTTCCTCCCACTGCTAAAGACCCCTACGAGCAAGCGAATTATTGAAATAAAAATATGTTAGTCCCAAAATGACCTAGTCTGTGTCGAGGAGTGGGGGTTTAACCCCATTTCTCTCTCTCTCTCCAAAATCATTGTATTGATATAAACAATTCAATCTTTAAATACAGTAATGTCCCAGATGTCAAGTCTTCATTACAGTATGCCACCTTGTCTCAGATGTCATGTTTTTAATACAGCATGCCACCATGTCTCATATGTCAAGTTTACAATACAGCATGCCACCATGTCTCAGATGTCATGTTTTCAATACAGCATGCCACCATGCCTCAGATGTCATGTCCTTAATACAGCATGCCACCATGTCTTGCATGTCATGTCTGTAATACAGCTATATTATTTATCTTATTAAACATTGTGCTTGTCCTATGACAAACCACAGAACAGATGGTGATTTTTGTGTCAGTAGTGAATGCAGGGTACAGTTACTAACAATAGAGCATTGTCTACACATTGTTTAACATTACAAAAAAATAACATTGTGATAGAATTTCTATATTTATTATCATTTTAACATAGTTGACGATTTGTGATATTTCTATATTGAAATATTCAAAAAGTACTGAATGAAGGGTACCATTAGTAACAATAGAGCATTGTCTACACATTGTTTACACATTGTTTAACATTACAAAAAAAATAACATTGTGATTGAATTTCTATGTTTATTATCATTTTAACATAGTTGATGATTTGTGATATTTCTATAATTGTAATATTCAACAATACAAATTACATTTTACATGGTTGATGATTTGTGATATTTTTTACAACAAAATGATTTCTATAATTGTAATAATATTTAAAAATAAAAAAGATGCATTTCACAAATAAGCTGGTTGTGTTTATGTAAATATTTTTAACAGAACTTTTTAAGGGAAATAAAATGAAATATGTTCTGCTCCAACTCGGCAAAGATGATGGGCATACTATGTGGTATGAAGGAAATTTTTCCTGGACAGTGGCACTACATGTACAACCTACTCTTATATCGAATTCCAACTGCTAAGGGATCTTTTTATGTGCATGCCCTAGACAGCGGAACTACGTTCTAATCTTATATAGAATACAAACTGATAAGGGATCTTTTACGTGCACGCCAATGTGTACACTGGACTTTGGTTTTTCATACCATTCAAACAACTGTATGCTGTCCCTTGCCAGGCTCTCTGTCTTACACCACTGACAACTTTCTCAGCCAATGCAGGGATCAAACACAGGACCTCCAGTTTAACCATGCAACGTCCTACTCACTGAACCACTGTGGATCCCCAAACTTTGTTGTTAAACAGACGTTTTAGCGCCTCCTATAATATTACATACAGCGTTACACCCCCTGTAAATAGGTGATAAAATCAGCGATGGTTTTTTGTTCATGTGCTTTTTTGATAAAATAAAATTAATTCATCGATTTTCTTCACAAAAATGGATAAATATTATCGAATGCATCACAATGGTAGACAGTAGTATCGAAGGTTGGTACAAAAAGAAAAGTTTACAGAAGTTATGTCCTAGATTTGAGTAAAGAATTTTCGTTCGGCGCAAGATTCAGCGATGGTCAAATTTACCGATGCAAGTATTGATGTTCGCTTCCAATGCATCCAAGCGTAAAAGCACCGAGATTTTATTAAGAGGCCATTCCCGTTAAGCGGTCAGTTGTGAAAATTCCCTTGGGTGGCTGCTTACATACAATTCTACCTTGTTAAAGAATAATCTTATTAATCCTATAATTCACTAGTGTCCTAACTCATTAAAGAATAATCCTATTAATCCTTTAAATCACTAGTGTCCGTTGAGAAATTGGCAAATATATTATTTTCTTGATGAAAAACAATGACCCCATGAAAATGTCATAGTGGCCATCACATCAAGGGAGGAGGAACCACACTGGAAAATTCAGATGAACTTTCACGGAAAACACTGGGATCGAGAAAAGAGTCATCCAAGTTAGAGAGTAAAGGTCTTACTAAGTCACAGCGGCTCCCCCCACCCCACAAGGAAGTCAAAGTTTCACAGTCTCATATCTTACACATTCATGTACAACAACACTAATTTATCTGTTACCAAAGTGTTTCAATTTCTACTGTGGAATCACAAAATGAAATGGGGTGTGTGAGTTAAATGATAGTCTAAAGTACGCCAGGCAATCCGCCCTGCATCACTGACAGAGGAAATTGGGCTTCAAAATCGTGGGTAAATTTCTCGGCCAACACCATGATACCAATCACCATAGTTCTTTATTATGTTCACTCTTTGACAGAAAGTTTAACTGGAACACTGATGTTGTTAGTCAAACACAGGTCACAATCGTCTATTTTCACTTTTCTTTTAATCTTTTTATAAATGTGACTTCTGCTTTATTTCTGATACCATATCTTTAAATATAAACAATTTATTAACAATCAATAAAACCCTGGAATAAAAACCTTTTTCAGAAACCCACCTTACTCTAAGTAAGTTGGCCAGATTAGATTTTCAGTATTTAAGGGAGTCATTGATTATGTTGAATTTTTTGGTAATTAAATTACATAATATCAATTCTCAGTCATTAGGTGACTCTAGTTATGTTGAATATTTAGTATATAAAATATATTACATCTATTTTTAGCCATTATGTGACTCTTGAGGCTGTGTTGAATATTTTGGTATATAAACTATATTATATCTATTTTCATGGTAGAAGTGAAATGAAATGAAATGAAATGGAGTTTAACGTCCTACTGTTCTGCTCCTAACCTGGGCTAATGAAGACGGGCATACGCCATACAGTGTGCTATGAGAGAAATTTTGCCCGGACAGCGGCACTACGGCCTACTCTTATATTGAATTCTAACTGCCAAGGGATCTTTTACGTGCACGCCAATGTGTACACGGGGCCTCGGTTTTTCGTCCCATCCGAATGACTAGACAGCTTTCCTTGTCAGCCCCTCCGTCCTGCATCACTCATGGTAGAAGTGATAAGATAACGTCTATTCAAATTTAGCGACCTAGTAATAACACCTTTATTGGTTGTTTGAAATGTAACAGACAGCCCCAACAACACATGTCATTCTTGACATCTAACATCAATAAGATCCACAACTAAATACTAAAATAATTCTCTTACTCTTTTAAAGTTTTCTTGTCATCTGATAATTTCTGGTTGTCATAATATAACCAATGTCTTCTCCAGACATACGTCCTGTAAAACGAACAAACAACAATATATTCACTATCCAGATTAATCTTGTGGGGGGCCTGGGACATATGTCCATAGCACACTGTTTGGTGTATGCCTGTCTCAGTACTCACAAAGTAATGGTGACTCACACTCAGTGGCTCAGTGAGTAAGACACTCAAGTAGGTGGTCCAGAATTTGATCCTGGTTTGGATGTGAAAGTACATGTAGCTCTGAATTTCCAGCATGGATTCCCCTTGTCAGTTGTGCAAGATTTTTTTTTGGGGGGGGGGGGGGGGAATGAGGGGGAGTTGGCAAAGAAAAGTGTCTACTGCTAACTATTTGGAGGGGATGAAAAACCAAGGTTCCGTGTACATAGTGTAGTGCACATAGAAAGGGCCCCTGACAAAATTTCCATCACAGCTCTCTGCATGCAAGTCTTCATTAGACCAGTTGGTGCAGAAAAGTAGGACATTTATATTTGAAATCTTGCTTTTCTAACTGACCAACTACCAGATCTCACTACTCACCAGCTAATATGTTGTGTACTACCAGATCTTGCTTGTTTTAACATGACATATCTCTTGATGGCTTGTTTTAAATCTAATACTGTGGCATCTTGTATCACTACTATAGCTGTAATAATAGAGTTATTTCCCCCTTATAACACATACAAACTAATTATAACATGTACGTCGAGTTGTATTTTCTCAACCTGACAACATCAGAGTAATTGTCTGTCACTGTTTATAAATAAAACCAGGTGCGTGCCCTATAACATTATGTGTCCGACTTGTGTTATAAGAGTAATTCATCAGACCATTAAATCATGGCTTTGGGCGATTACGCCAACCCTAGTCACTGTATGAAAGACAAGAACATAATGTGTCCTGACTTTTGTTTCTTGACCATGAAGATGACATACCCTCCAAGCCAGCTTGATACACTCACAGCTAGCTTGATACCCTCAAAGCCAGCTTGATACTCTCCCAGCCAGCTTGATACCCTCCCAGCCAGCTTGATAAACTCCCAGCCAGCTTGATTGGCACTTCAGTTACCCTCACAGCCAGATCTAGGAGGATTGAATGTAATTTAATACTAGATAACAAATGAAATAGAATTTAGTGGCGACGTTATGTGACAATATCAATTTCAAAGCACTTGATGACTTCATGGAAGATTCAAAATGAGTGAATCATAAAATAAATTGAGCACAACTGATGATTTGCTTGGGCTAACTAGGGGTGGGACTTTGTTGGTGGATCACAATATGATATGCATTGCAATACCGATACATATTGATGTATCGTCCCACCATTACTTAAGTGTTAATCTGCAACCCAATGGAACTGACTAATTATATAATGTAACTTACGCATACTAATATTATCATCTCTTCGAACAAATACCACCATAGCCTGACCATGTTCTAAAGCTATCATAGAATTCACTTCCTCTAGAGTTACCTGCCCTGGTAAATCTTGTAATAATGGATCCGACTAAAACAAAAAAAGAGACATGGATGTGATCATACATGTATGTATTACTGGATATAATGGACTAATATACCCTGGTTTATCCAGTCATCAATTTCAATAGGAGTGTCTCACATGTAGAGATATACTATTCAAAAAAAGTAGGGGATATTTGATTTTTAAGTGTTATTAAAGTCACCTAATGAAACTGACGAAGAAACAAATGACAAAATGAAATGAAGTTCACATTCATCGATTTATTCCAAATGATCGTTAGACTAAGTAAGGCACAGACTGATCATTATAAGGGTAAAATGATACCCGGGGTCAAACAGCAAAGTTACCACAGCATCACAACCAAGTCAGTAACGGGTAAATCCTCCTCTGTTTGCCAAACAAGCATTGATCCGACGTGGCATACTCCTAATGAGACGTCTAAGGTCATTTTGGTCCAGATTGTCCCATTCCTGTTGCAACGCAGCAGCAAGTTCTTGGACATTGGCAGGACGTTGTTGACGTTGACGTAACCTCTGTCCAAGCATGTCCCAGACATGCTCGATGGGGGAGAGGTCGGGACTCAGTGCTGGCCAAGGTAATGTGGTGATGTTCTGTTGTTGGAGGTAACCTGTAACGATCCTGGCCCTGTGACATCTTGCGTTGTCATCCTGGAAGATGAAACGGCGGCCATGACGTCGTGCGAACGGCACAACATGGACTGCCAAGATGTTGTCCCGGTAGTACTGGCCTGTAACACGCCCTGCAACAACATGTAAAGCCGTTCTTCCAGCAACAGTGATGCCTCCCCACACCATAACAGAACCACCCCCAAATCGATCATGTCTGATGACGTTAACGTCTTGGAAGCGCTCGTTTCGACGACGCCACACCCTCCTACGTCTGTCCAAAAAATCAACAATGAACCTTGACTCATCTGAAAACATCACATTGCTCCAGCGTCGATTATCCCAGTGTTGACGATCCCTACACCAACGACGTCTTGCCTGAATGTGATGATCTCTCAAACAAGGGATCACGCGAGGACGTTGGGCGCGAAGGTGACCCCTATGCAGTCGATTCCGAATCGTCTGGCCACTCACTCTCACACCAGTGTCTGTTTGAAGACGAGCGCTGATCTGATTTGCTGTGATGACACGATTTCTCAAGGCCAAGGTACGGATAAATCGATCCTGGGCTTGAGTTGTCGCCCTTGGTCGACCTGAGCGTGGTCTGTCCTGTACAGATTGTGTATCACGGTATCTGGACCATAGCCTGCTTATGACAGACTGAGAAACATTCATCGTCCGCGCCACAACCGCCTGTGTTGTGCCGATCTGTAGCATGCCAAGGGCACGTAACCTTTCATTTTGGGTAAGCCGACGCATATCAAAATTTGTTTTCTGGTCACTAAAACAATTAAACTGATGTTTCCACCCTGGAATTCAATGCCACAATGACTGTAACATTCAAAGTCAGAGTCGTGCAAATCTTGGGTTGGACCCCCATGATGATCCCAAGCATCACCTGCATTCCATGCGGTAGCTATTGGTGCGTTTGGGCGTCACATGTAACTGGAAATGTTTCTTCTGTTAGGTTCTATAGTGACTTTTTTCGTAGTCATTTGCATATTTTAGTATTATGCCCCCAAAATCAAATATCCCCTACTTTTTTTGAATAGTATAGTTACTGAGTGGCAGTGTCTCACATGCAGAGAAATAGTTACTGGATTATCCAGTCATCAGTGTCAGTCTCTCCCATATCGAGAGAGATAGTTTCTTGATTATCCAGTCATCAGTGTTTTACATGTAGAGATAGTTACCGGATATGCCTTAATATCGACAGGAACAGAGATGTTTTAAATATAAACATACATTTTCAGTTTTGTCAAAATTTGATAAAAATTGTGACCTCTAGAGTGTTCACAAACTAATGTGAATGGACGGATGGCTAAGGGTGACAACATATGTCCATATGAAAATTTGGGGGCATGAAAACATAGAAATGCCAGTCGGTTTATTGTAAAATGTTTTTCAGACTTGCTGACAAATCGATAGATCTGTTAGCAAATATCAAACTGTTTTATTTAACAGTGCAACCGCAGCATCATGATATTCCCTTCACCCATCCAACATAATGATATTCCCTTCACCCATCCAACATATAAATATTATTTTCTAATCATTAATACGTCTTTAATATTTTCAACTGTATACCGGAATTAATTCTGCCAGGATGTCTTGTACTTGTTGCATGGCATCTTTATGAGATAGTGGTGTATCTGTTGTTTGTTTCTTGTCTGATTGCTGCACATCAGCTTTTCCTTTTAATTGATTAAAAGGTTCCTGTTTGATCTTGACTATAGCCTTCGTATCCAGACTCTCATCTATTGTTTGGTTATTCATTTCTGAAAAGCTTGAATTAGAAATTATATTATATTAGATGCATTTGCTCCTGCAACATTTCGGATTTCTGACATTTGAACCACAGTAAAAATATGTATCGACATTTCGAAATCGGGTAGATCGGGTAGATGACTCAATATTAACATGAGACAAATGGTTACTTAAAGGTTCTTCAAAACATAGCTGCACTTACAGTTCTTTGATAATCAATTTCCTGTAAAAGTAATATATTAAAAAAAAGAATAGTATATGAATTTATTTGAAAATGACATACTCAAAACACAAAAGAAAATATTTACACAACATGTACAGTAGTTTTAAGTCCATACCAATTCTTAACATTACAGTCAGCTGCACCTTTGCATGCATTGCTCGACAAGCTTGCAATAGAAGGCAGTACAAAGCGATAAATAGTGCGACTGCATACAAAGAAAAATTAAAGCTGTTTAACCAATAATCCTGATGACAACTGATGTTGTAGTAGAAGTTCTGACGTTTTATATTTGACAACAATCAGCTTTGCTCTACTCAGGCAATACCTGTACACTGTTACACCATCATCTTCCTCATGACCTTGGGGGATCACGGTGGCTAAGTGGGTAAGACACTGACCTGCTAGCCTGGAGGTCGGGTGTTTGATCCCTGCATTGGCCGAGAAAGTTCATCCAGATTTTCCGGCGTGGTCCCCCATTGTCAGTGATGCAGGACAGAGGGCCTGACAAGGACAGTTGCCTAGTTGTTCGGATGGGACAAAAAACCAAGGTGCCGTGTACACATTGATGTGCACATAAAAGATCCCTTGACAGTTGGAATTCAATATAAGAGTAGGCCGTAGTGCCGCTGTCCGGGCAAAATTTCCCTCGTAGCACACTGTATGGCTTCGGAACAGAACAGTAGGACGTTAAACCCCATTTCATTTCCTTGTGACCTTGAGAAAAATATGCGTTTGGCCTGGTCGTTACAACCAAAGTGGGGCCGTTTTGACCAAAATGAATTTTGGCAGTTATGTATGTATGGCATGACCACATCCCAAATATAGATCTACATGGCTACAGTTAGCCAACAATCAAATTGCTGATGTAATGATTACCTCTTAATTAGTTAATTAGGAGAGTCTTTCAATCAGTGTTATTCTGCTGTTCCCGGATACCTCCTAAAAAACTTTTTCTGAACATGATAATGTGATTTTTAATTTTCTGCATGGGCGCAGACATCTTGAAGTCACGCAGTAAATAATATTGAAAAATGAACAAAATCCCCTTTTTAAATACATTTCCCAAAAATAATTATGTAGTACCTAGTCATGAATTTTTGTTCCACAATTTGATGTACTTAAATTATTGAAAATAATTTTATTTTTCAAAATCCGTTATTATTTTGGTACTCCGCAGTCAATCAACCGGAAGCACGTTTTGTGGTTTTGACGTCTGAAGTGACGAAAAACATTGAAATATGGCTAAATTCAAACTAAAATAAAACATTATTTCATTTAATAATTTAGTAACCAGTGGTATCCAGTAGATTGTGTAGAACTAGAATTTAAGGCTAAAGTTATAGGCAGTGCCGTGGACATTCAGTGAAATAAGAAAGATGTTGATGTTTTGTCCAACTTGTGCGAATGTTTTAGTGGTAGAGGAAGGGACGAATTGTTATAGATTCGCCTGTAACACGTGTCCTTATATACAGAATGTTACTAGAAAGGTACGTATTCACGTTTATACAGGTCTTTTTACTTACTCTGTAAAATGTTTCAATTCAAGGGGTGGTAGTTCGGCCTAGTTCAGCTCTGACCGTAGGTCTCATCACAGGAGTCTGACCTTCTATATGCATACACCATGTCCAACCAGACAATATATAATATTTTACCTGCTCTTGCTTCGGCTAGTTTTTTTTCAACAATTCGTAATGTCAGGCAATCAAACCTCTGTCGATTCACTCAGATATGTTTTTTCTTCAATCTAGTCGTTTTGATTTGTATAAATACTCCCACAAAACGATATCATAGCCACTTGTTTCCAATATTTACATTACTTTCGTCCCGTTTCCATTTTGTCACGGCTGCCATGCGCTGACATCACACAAAATCAATCCGCGGTGAGTAGACCATTGAAACAAGTGCTAAAGATATTTTTAGTTTTTCTCTCCCTTTCCATTTTCCCCTTTTTGCATGGCGATTTTTGTTGACTTTTGGGTGTAGAATCGAAGAAGAGGGTTTGCATATACATTTTCTGCCAGGTATTGGTGAATATTCATCATTTTGAGGCGGAAGTATACAAGACTTCAGAGGTTGGTTAGCTTTTTGTGTGACGACAGCGCATGGCGACCGTGACAAAATGGAAACGGACGAAAGTTAAGTAAATATTGGAAACAAGTGGCTATGATATCGTTTTGTGGGAGTATTTATGCAAATGAAAACGACTAGATTGAAGAAAAAACATATCTGAGTGAATCGGCAGAGGTTTGATTGCCTGACATTACGAATTGTTGAAAAAAAACGAGCTGAAGTGAGAGCAGGTAAAATCGAGTCTTCAACAGGCATTGCATTCCTGTTCTTTTTTTATTGTATATTGTCTGGTTGGACATGGTGTATGCATATATATATATACGGATAGAAGGTCAGACTCCTGTGGTCTCATAGTCATTACACTCGACCTGTACGTTCAGGAACTGTCCTATTGAATCCATGTCGAAAATCTAATGGCTACCCAGTCAATTTACTGGGCAACTTTGGCGCAGTACGTTGATCCGGCTATTTAGGGTTAGGGGTAGCCGGGTCAACGTACTAGGCCGCAACTTCTTACTGCTGAACGGTCGTGTGACAGTCCGTGTGAATGCCTGAACAATGTAAATGAACGGTAGCACGTCATTTCGGTCCTGCATCATTTCGGACTCAACACAGACGACCTTTCCGACTCAGTTTGAAGATGGTTCAGACTTACTTGACGACTTTTCGGACTCGGTCTGGCGACGTTTCATACTCGGATGAATAATTAAAAGACTGTTGAAAATTTGTGTGATATATTTGTAATAGCTGTTTTTGTTTTCGTTTTCGTTTTATGTGAGTCCGATAGTTGTTTTGTTTTATTTAATTGATCAGCGATTCTTGAGATTGCTAATAAAAAGATAACACTGATTTTACACTCACTGCTTGTTCTATTTTGTTTTGTTTAATCGGCGAGTATTGAACTTGACAATAAAATATTATTGAATATTTGTGTATATTTTGTAATACTGCTAATGTTTTTATAATCATGAAAGCCTAAATGTCTTTTACGTGAGTCGGAATAATCGAATCTATACACGGCCACCATTATCGCTGATTGACAACTCACGTTTCTGCTTGTCCACTAAAGAACTGTAAGGTTTCTTTGGGCGTACTACAATAACATAGGGATTATCGGTTAATCAGCTTTAATTATCCCACTTTGATCGTTGCCATTTCTAATATTTTCCAAAAAGAGTTTTCTTTGTACGCACTAGTTTATCGATTGGAGCGGCTATCTATGACTAGCTAGTCAAGATATGCATGTCAAAGTGTAGCTTACAGATTATCGTTAAAAAAATCTAGAGGTTTGTAAAAACAATGCATGTTGAGTAAATATTTACATTTGTTTTTTGTGTAGGTCATTTTGAAATAAATTCTACAGCATATTATTCTTTTTTTAAAAAAATAAATTACTTTTACGGGAAACGATGATAAATTTTACCTGCATGTTATTTTTTTAGAAAATCAATTTTGGTTTATTATAGATTGATTTGACAGTTGTGTTCAACCTCTCTGTTCAACTTATTCCCGAGTCTGAAATGTCACCTTCCCAAGTCTAAAATGTCACATACTCGAGTCCGAAACGTCGAGGCCATATTTTTTTGAGTCCGAAATGTCATAAGTCCAAAATGACATGTAATCAAATTAACATCTTAGTGAAAAAATATAAGACCTTGCTTACCTCGCTAGAACCAGTATGAGCGACATCACTCGCTGTTAAAAAATACATCTCCGTCTTCTAACAGGCTTGGCAGACTTCATTGAAAGGGTAATGCACAAATTTACGAACTCGGCCATATAAGATGAAACGAAATTTAGGTAAGTCTGGGGGAAAAAATTGGGATTTTTGAAAAAATTTGATTGTAAATTATTGTAATTTGGCTAGGCAAAGCAATAAATGACTGAAGATTCTTAACTTTTCAAAGATTTCAATTTTTTTCTCCCACTCTTATGGGATAACTAGACCCTTTGCCTGGTACCACTGACAAGGAGTAACGAGACCCTTTGTCCTGCATCACTGACAAGGGGTAACCACAACTGAAGACTCCTAAGGAACTTTCACGGCCAACACTAGAAGAGAACCAGAGACCTCCCGGCTAGTGAACTAGCATATCACTCACTGAGCCACATCTGATTACAGAATGAAATGAAAGTTAACCAGTACATATGTGTACAATGTACATGTATATAAAGTAAATGACGAGTCTAAGTATCAACTTTGCACCCTGCCTGTCCAACTACATGTATTGATTCCGCCCCCGTGTATCACTTGATTCGTGCTTGTTTACACCGGCTATTGTGTCTTTAAAACAGAATTGAAGTGTTAAGATATGGTATACCATGGCTCAGAAATATACATCAAATCAACTCTAGTCCCCCCTCTCCCCCCCCCCCCCCCCACACACACACAAATAAGTTTGGCGTGTCTGTCTCGTACCCATGTGATAAGACGGTCTGGCGGTCTGGTCCTCTCTACGTGTATAAACAATGCGAAACAACCTGTCAGATAAATGTGAATATGTATATAGATTATTTACTTCTGTTTTTAATATTGTAGATTAGTCATAAGAAATATCCAAAACTAAAAGAAGTTGATGATGTTTTAGGTGGAGCAGCAGCATGGGAGAATGTTGATTCTACAGAAGGTAATATAGCTTTAATAACACGATTGTCAGGGATTGATTTTAGAGGAGCACTCATCCCCCTTCACGCTTCTTAATCCAAATTTAGGTGTGCTATAATAGCGTGCGCTAAAATTGGAAATAATCAGTAATTGTTTTCAGTCATTCACCACAAAATATTTAACCAACACATGAAAATCAAGTAGTTATCGATTCCGTCCACTGGATGTGGGCAGTGTAAACATTCATAGCATAAGTACCATACTGGTTCTGCAGATTCATGCACGACTGAGCAAGATAGCCATTTCGATAACCCATCTTATTGTTCGGATTACGAGTGTCATCTTGTTTAGCCTACCTGCTGCAAAGCATGTTGACCTTCCTTAGATTAATGATGCCTCAAAAACAAAGTATGTCTAATAAAATATATGCCTGTAGTAAGCAATGAATTACAGTGTTAATTGTTGAAAAGACAATTTCATTGATCATTGTGTGGACAAGCATACTTGTGTGTGAGGCAACTTGTTATTCATTGATTTTACAGCAATGACCACAGTGTGTTGAATATATTTGTTAATTTTTACAAGTTTTTCGATTTCTTCAATTAGATCGTACAATCGGTGTTTTTTTTTCAATATTGAATCCCCCAGAACATTTAGAGAGGAGCGTTCTAAACAGTCGCCCACAATTTGACCAGATCGATTTTTAGAGCACATGCATTCTTTAAACTTCAATGCCTGGATTGTGGTGTCATCAATTTGTCAATACATGTAATTATTATTGGTGTAATATATTTTAGGACTGTTATTATCGGTGTAAGATATTATCAGTGTAAAGTATTTTAGGACTGTTATTATCGGTGTAAGGTATTATAAGACCTGTTATTATCAGTGTAAAGTATTTTAGGACTGTTATTATCGGTGTAAGTTATTTTAGGACTGTTATTATCAGTGTATGGTATTTTAGGACTGTTATTATCATTGTAAGATATTTAAGAATGTTATATATATCTACATGTAATAAATTACACAGTAACCCAGTTTTAAAGTTGGTACTCTTGAATATATCTTACAATACATTCATATAAATATATTCAAGTCCCCAAGTCTTTAAATGAAATGAAATGAAATGGGGTTTAACGTCCTACTGTTTTGCTCCGAACTGGGCTAATGAAGACGGGCATACGCCATACAGTGTGCCATGAGGGAAATTTTGCCCGGACAGCGGCACTACGGCCTACTCTTATATCGAATTCCAACTGTCAAGGGATCTTTTACGTGCACTCCAATGTGTACACGGGACCTCGGTTTTTCGTCTCATCCGAATGACTAGAC